GTGCTGCCGACACGCCGCCCCACCCCAGCCCGTGCCGGGCACGCCCCCACCGCTGCCGAGTGAGTGAGTGGCCCCGCTCCGCGTGGAAGCCCCACACCGGTGCGGGATTTGCCGCAGGAAGAGAGAGGGGGTGCAGGATCGAGAGGAAGGGCGCGGGTGCCGCACGAGATCGAGAGGGAGAGAAGGTGGGAGCGAAATGTCAGCTTAGCGCCCACGACTGGCTGGGAACGGGTGGTATCGGGCTATTCAGCCAGATGAAGAGTTTAGCACCGGCTGGTTTTCTCTCTCCATTTCTCTCTTTATCACATCATGACTTTTTCCTACGTGGCTTAGATTCAGCCGGCTGAGTCAGCCTTATAATACTTGCTCTGAGAGAGTGAGTCCTCTTCGGCCCTGTTCGCTTTGCTGAAAAGCTATGGCTGAAAATACTGTTCACTGATTTATTGTCAGAGAAAAACAATGTTCGTTCACTGAAATAGTACGGCTCATAACACAAGCGAACGGTGCCTTCTTCCGAGACCATCGAAAACCTGCCACGCTTCCCATGAGGTCCCACGAACCCTTCTGAAACCAAAATACTTGCGCGGTCTCGCGTCTTGCCTAATCGTCCACCGGCTAATGAAATCTCAGGGCATTAATCAAGTTAGCTCTGCAATCAAAGAATAATATATAAGCAATAATACTTACAACAGGCGCAAAACCTGCAATGCGTACTTGTTTGTATCGATGGTTAAGTCAGAAAAAAACATTTCGGACTTGGGAATCAACGGGACAAAGGAGGTGCTCTTGGTAATAATTAACCTACCCCTCCAAATCTGCAACAAAAAAACGAAACGTGTGGTGCCCTTGCGCATTTTGCGTGCACCTAGGAAGGATTACTCCATTCTGTCGAAAAAGAATTAATTTTTCAGTAAATTTGTACGTCGCTCGAGCAATTCTCCCGCTGCTGTCATTCGATTTTTTCGGCCGTCCGATTCCTCTGTGCTCTACTCTCCGCCGAGCGAATAGAATCACGGTGTTTCTAGGGCTGCTGCTTCTCCTGTATGGCCCACTGCATTAACTCCTGCGCAGTAAGAAATGTGTGGACGACAACGCTTCACTGGGTCATTTGTAAATTAGTATTGGGCCTTGTTTAGTTGAATTCGGCGTTGTTGGAATCACTGTGTGTCAATGTAGTGTACTGTAGCATTTCGTTTGTATTTGATAATAATTGTTCAATCATTGACTAATTAGGCTCAAACGTTCGTCTTGCAAAGTACAACCTAACTGTGTAATTAGTTTTTGATTTCGTCTATATTTAGTACTCCATGTATGTACCACAAGTTTAATGTGACGGAGAATCTTCTTTTTCATAGCGTCGAAGTTGGGGCCTTGTTTAAATTGCAAGTTTTTTCACTCTCTCTCCATCACATCAAATCTTTGGACACATGCATGGAGTATTAAATGTAGATAAAAAAATAACTAATTATATAGTTTGATTGTAAATTACGAGACAAATATTTTGAGCCTAGTTATGTCATAATTAGACAATAATTGTCAAATACAAACGAAAGTGCTATTCCTAACCCCCAGTTTAAAAAAAGGCCCGGAAGTCGGGAGCAACTAAACGAGGCCCTAGTTCCAAGGCTCTCTTTCTTCCAGCTCGCGTCCGACTCTTTCTTCCTCGAAGCGTTCTTCTTCCTTGCCTCCGACCCCGCCCGTCGTGCTCATGCCACCGCACCTCGGTGCGCCATGACCCAGCACCCCTCAGCGTGGCTGCTGCTCGTCCCTCGCGGCCCCTGCCGTCCTGGTGCAGCCAACTCTTTCTTCCTTGCCTTCGACCACCTGCCTCGCGGTCCGCGCCACCGCAAGACTCGGCGCCCTGCTCATCCTCATGGCCCCTGCCGTCCCAGTGCCACCGTCGCCCACCGCACCACCGCACCCCGGCGCGCCCGAGACCCTGCACCCGGCAGATTACATCTAAGGGAGCCATATTTTACTACTTTGATTTGGGTGTAAGTTTTGTGTTCCATGATGTAAATTGATTGTTCTATGTTTTTTTTTTTTTGCTTTAATCTTCTTCTAATTTGTCTTTCATAGAACTGATCTGTTTAATCTGTTTTTTTTTTTTTTTTTGCTTTGAATTTCTTCAAATTTGCCAAACATAGAACTGATCTGTTTAATCTGTTTTTTTTTCTATGTTTTTTTGCTTTGATCTTCTTCTAATTTGCCTTTCATAGAACTGATCTGTTTAATCTGTCTTTTTTCTATGTTTTTTGCTTTGATTTTTTTTTCTAATTTGCCTTTCGTAGAACCAGTCTGTTTAATTTGTATTTTTTCTATGTTTTTTTGCTCTGATTTTGATCTCTTTTTATTTGGTTCGTTAGATGTTGATCTTGTGGTTATGGGAATCGAGTGTTGTAGAGGCTTGAAACACTCGATTTAGTTTGCTTGGTAGATTCGAGTGTTTTAATGTGTTTTGTCACTCGGATGACAGGAGGGTGAAAATCAACTAAGTTTTGAGTAGATAGACCCTAATTTTTAGAGCTTATGTAGGACTGCTTGCCTTCACCTTTTTAGCTCTATTTTCAACTTTGCTAGCTAAACAGAGACAACTCTGTAAAATCTGCTCTAGAAAAAAAAGTAGAGTTGAGGATCAACTCAAGATGTTTTGTGGAGCACCTAAAGGATATTTTAGAAACTCTATTTTTCTTGTGGAGTTCCATGTTATAGTTAGTGGAGCAATCCTAAACAGACTCTTAAGACTGTCTCCAACGGCTTACGCAAACGGCGACGCAAACCAAAAATGGGTAATCCACAGTGTTTTTACGTGAGGAAAACCGGCTCCAACAGAACAGGCAAATAGATCACGCATTTTGGGTAGAAGACCACCCGAGACGCTTATTTGCGTCGGTCTTTCTCCAAGACGCAGCCTTCGCCAACGAGGCGGGCCCGACGACAACGATGACGGCGAGGCGGGGAGGGAGGGGGGCGGCGCTCACCGGATCTCGCAGGGAGGGAGGGAGGCCGTGCAGGGGAGGGAGCCCGGCCGACGCAGCCATGCCGCGCAGCCGCGACGTCCCCCCTGCGCCAGATCGGGCCACTCCGGCGTCCGCGCGCACGGAGTCACCGGAGGAAGACGCAGCAAGTGTCGGGGCTCCTGTCGGCGACGGCACCGAAGTGGAGGTGGAGGTGGCGGCGCGTCCACCTGAGCCGGACCCGCGGCCATGCCCCGCGGCCGGGGGCGACGGTGGTGCGGCCTCCTCGGGAGCGGCCGAGGCGTCGGTGGTCGCGGGCTCGGAGCCGACGGAGGGGGAGGACGAAGCCGCGGTCGCGGGCTCGGAGCCGACAGAGGGGGAGGAGGGAGCCGCGTCTGCTGGGGCTCCGGCCGTCGGCAGCGGCGCATCCTCCAGATGCGGACCCGCTGCCTGAGGGACCGACGGAAGCGGGAGGGAGGGAGGTGGGCTGTTGGAGAAGGAAGGGAATGGGTGAGTGACTTATTTACTGTGCCGAACCCAAATACCAGAATGGGTCACCGATTTGGGTATGGCCCGTTGGAGATAGTCTAAAGGTGTCGTTTGGTTCCAGTGATGTAAATGGTAAAGCAAATCAGACCAGATTATAGTGCAAATAGTTTAAGAGATTCTTTTTTTGCGAGTCAAAATCTAGTCTAACGGCCAAATGATCTCACGAAGTGATCCTGATTAATCATCCGAAACGTTTCTTAAGACATTCTGGTTCTAAAACGTTTATATAAGAATCTAGATCTCTACCAAACACACCCTTAGCTAGTAGAATATTTCACATTTGCATGCTTACCGCGTAGAGATATATATAACAATGAGGTATGGTAGCCTAGCTCTTTTTTTGTAATTGATTTTCAGATGTAGGTTTCTCCATTATTAGCTCGTGTTTCACTGTTTCCACTTCCATCTACTGCTTGAACAAGCTGATGCTGCGGTTCCTCAAGAACAAGCTGGACTACTGCCGCCTCCACGGGATCGAGCTGATCTACAACAGGGAGTTCCTGCACCCGGCCATGCGGGGCTACTGGCCCAAGGTCCCCATCCTGCGTGCCGCCATGCTCGCCCACCCGGAGGCGGAGTGGGTCTGGTGGTTGGACTCCGACGCCGTCTTCACCGACATGGACTTCGTCGCGTACACCGGCCAAGTACGCCGGCCGCAACTTCGTCGCGTACGGCTGGCCCGACAAGTTCTTCGCACTACTACAGAAGTTAACTGTAGGGGCGGCTCTAGAGCCTCTGTAAGGGCGGTTGCGCCAGCCGCCCTTCCCAGGGTGTTCCTACAGAGGGTCTCTGTAGGGGCGGTTTCCTGACCGGGGCGGTTTCCTGACCGCCCCTACAGTGCCCTCTGTAGGGGTGGCTGGTGTTTTCAGCCGCCCCTACAGTGCCCTCTGTAGGGGCGGCTGGTAATATCAGCCGCCCCTGTAGTGGACTTCTGTAAGGGCGGCTGTATCACCAGGCGCCCCTGCTGTGTGTATTTGTAAGAGCGGTTCAATCAAAAACCACCCCTACAGTGGATTTTCCAGCAAAAAAAATAATTCAAATTCAAATCTGACCATATATATATATATATATATATATATATATAATTCGAATTCGAATCTGACCGCCACAAATATACATATATACATCCACAAACACAAGACCATTATTTAGAACATCAATCAAGCCGACATACAAGCATATGTAGCTGAATACAAAAACTAGCAATTGTCATGAGGTTGTACAGCAAGCAAATAATGTTTGCCTGTTGAGCAAAAGCCATCATCCAAAAGTGATCTAACATAATGATCAAAAGATAGCACCCTCAGGTTCTTGAGTCCAAGCTAAAACTACCAGGTTGTAGTCCAAAAGCAATGAAAGCTAGCATGTAGTTCACCATAAGATAATTCAATGGCTTACTATCAACAAGTCGCTACCAACAACCTCATGAGAAGATCCTGCAACAAATTTGCTCCCAGCAACTTCAGTGGCTTCCTGTCAACAAGCTAGCACCGCCTAGCGTCTCTGAGACGATCCTGCAGCACCTTGAGAAGATCTAGCAACACCTTGAGAAGATCTTATTGGTTGCTGACTGCAGACCTTCAGCTGTCACAAATATCATTAGTTAGAAACTGTAGATACCACACATAAAAAAAGAGAATAGAATTATGTGGACATTACTCGATTAAATGGCCAAGCAACCGGCATCTTTACAGCATCGCCTAGAGTCTTGATTTCAGCATAAGGGCGTGGCACTAATGCTTCACGTTTGAAGACAACATTCACAATAACTTCACAAAATTTCGTTCCAAGAGCCTCACGCGCTAGCTGATTGTTTGGATTAACTGAAACAACAGTTGCCTTAGCCACTTTTTCATTACTCGACATGGCAAATAATTTCTAGCCTGAGCAGCAAGGGTTGTGTGACATCAGTACTATACAGGCATGTATCTAGTGTTGAAAAAAACAAGCCCAATAGGCAAGTAACTGAAAATAACAGATTAATATTAGTTAATCTTTACTTGAGACTCAGGAGACCTCCAATATTTGATAAGAGAATCCAGTTCATCATCATCTATTCTATGATCATGTAAGTTTTTCAGTTGCTCATCAGTCAATGTTTCATCAAAAATTTGTCGCTTAAGTTTTGCTTTAAACTGCTTCCATTTTGCTCCAGCACTAGACATAACCCAGTCCAAGGCTGCATCATCTATATCAAATCGTTTCTGGAAAGTCAAGAAAAATAAGCCAATCAGTCCAGGATGCATAATCTGGACATAAACAACCTAAGCATAATCTGGACAGGCAAAATCCCAGGGCTCCAACCAAATGAACTCCAGACAGGGGTCCAGTCTAGGCAATTTTAGCCAGGGTTGCATCCAAACAGCCCCGTAAAGCATAATCTAGACATAAACAAATTGAGACAGTACCTTTATGTCATCCCAAAGTGCCATCTTCTTTTTAGCATCCACAAGCCTCCAATCAGAGTATCCAATTGGCAACATTTTCCGTGTTTGAACTCCAATAACACTAGAAAGCTTCCTATAAATCTTACCTTTCACAAGTTCCTTTGACCAATAACTTCTTAGTTATGAACGGCAGCTTCTATGATTGTTTCAGATGTCTAGAAAACTTCAAATGCTTGTAGGCACCTCCTTTACCCTAAGAACAGGTGGCTAGTGAAAATGAAACAATTTACACCATGAATCAAAGTGGAGGGGAAGAAAACATGATCAGCTTGAGAGGTCATGCTGATGTTTACCTCTTGCATAATCCCTTCAATGTTGCTGATGCACAAGCAGGATGATTCCTACAAGGTACAGTGTTGGTAACCTGCAACAGCATATAATTTTACATAAGATTCACATGTAATTTTCTGGTATCAAGCGAGTTATTGAAAGATGTAGAAGATTATCAAAGTGGTACTGCACTAGCATTGCACAGGCGAGGGTAAGGCTTGCCACTAACACCCTTCCCCAGACCCCACACAGAGCTGGAGCTCTCTGCACTGGGTACGCCCTTTTTTTTTACTGCACTAGCATCCCAAATTCAGATTCAGAGTTCTAATCCTGGGTGTCACAACCAAATGGAAAGGCTATGCATCCATCTTTTAGCAAGCAAAAGCAAAACCCTGGAAGTAGGGCAGTTCAGCAAGCATTATGATGAATTTGCATTTCACTATGCTCACTTAATGTCCTACCTGTTTTGTTAGACTTCACCTATCTGCTTTAAATAACATATGCAGACCTCATATGTTAATACCTGTGCAAGTATCAATTGATTCGACAGATTGGTTAATAAAACAATTTAACCAAAAATAGCCCCTGTTAACTTGCTTGTAAATGTACTTGGTTCTGTTTATTTTTCACATATCAGCTTGCAAAGTATCCATATCATGATTAATGAAGCCTTCACTTAGTTCATACTGTAATATGACGTGGTAATAATGACCATGTTATCAAATTGAATTATTGTCTATGGAAACTGGCCTGACAGTAATAGATTTTCGTAGGGGAGAGGGAGAGATGGCTCGGCCAGAGCACCACCAGCTGCCGACGCTGAAGAAGCGGAGGCAGGGGGTGCGGCACCACCGGGCTCGGCGAGCTTGCTCCTCCAACAGATCGACGTGCACAGGTTGAAGGCGGCCGTCAATCACCGCGCGAAACAGAGCTGGAGCACAGCAGGTCGTCGGCAGCCGGCCCGCATGCACAGGGGAAGCTCCCCGCACGGGCTGTCCCAGAAGCCGTACAGGCGGCGGCGGCGGCGGCAGTCCGGCTCCTGCTCGCTGCTCGTGATTTAGTGGTGAGAAATTTGAGGGAAGACAGTAGATCAGAAGTGTGCGAGATTTGGGGGAAAATTGTGGCGCTGGATTTTGGGGAGAACCATGCGCGGCGGCGGCTGGGCAGAGACAACGCTCGTGAGCTTTTGGCAAATGTGGCGGCGTGGGTGGGAGGATGGAGGCGGCCTTAGAGTTTTCAGGGAATAATTGGGCCAAAACAACGCGGGAGATGGTTTCTCGGGCTTTCTTTAGCACGCCGATTCTAAATCAAAATGAATTATTCACATATAAATAATAAATAATACAGTACAAAATTTTATAATTATTTTTTATAAATATATTTACATATACAATAACTAAAACAACTACAACAGTTTAAAATTGTAAAATTGAACCATTAAAAATGAAAAAAATATTTAAATTTTAAAAAATTAAAATCAAAACTAATAAAATAATTTTGAGACACCAAATGATATTAAATGAAAATTTGATAAACATCAAAGTTGTAGAGGTCATGAAGATCTACAACTTTTATTTTGGTCATCTTGTCATTTGATAAAATTTGAACCTTTCAAATTTGAAATTTTAAAAAATGACAAGTTCGAACCAAAATTTGAGACCCAAAATGATTTCAACATAAAAAGTGATGAATACTAAAGTTGTTCAACTCATTAATATCTACAACTTTTATTTTAGTCATCTTGTCATTTGACAAAATTTGAACCTTTCAAATTTGAAATTTTGAAAAACGACAAGTTCGAACCAAAATTTGAGACCCAAATTGATTTCAACATAAAAAGTGATGAATACCAAAGTTGTTCAACTCATGAATATATGCAACTTTTATTTTGGTCATTTCTTCATTTGACAAATTCTTAGCACATATTATTCACTAATGTTACACATATTTCATATAGTTTATAAAAGCTTATAAGAGATGTGTCACATTTGTCAACAATGTCATTACCACTTTGTCATATGAAGAAATGGTCAATACAAAAGTTGTAGATCTTGATAAGTTATTGAACTTTGGTATTTATCACTTTTTCAGCTGAAATCATTTGAGGTACCAAAATCTTGTCTAAAATTGCATTTTTTTTAAATTCAAAATTTAAATTGCTCAAACTTTTTATATGCATATATTGACAAAACCAACAAAATAAATTGATAGAGAATGATTTTAAAAAATTTTAGAGAAAAAATCATCAGATTTGGAGTTAGTATGAGGAAGAAAAACTAGATACAAAGTTGACCCACAGATTAAAAAAATCACACTGTTTACTATGATAATGTAAGGATCATCTAGAACAGTGTGATTTCTCTTTTTAATCTGTGTGATTTCTCTTTTTAATCTGTGGATAAACTTTGCAACTAGTTGTTCTTCCTCATAGTAACTCCAAATGCGATGGTTTTTTCCTAAAAAATTCTAAAATCATTCTTCAATATTTAAGTTTGATGAAACTTGGATGTGACAATGTTTTACACATTTTAAAATTTGAAATTTTATAAGTTCAAACCAAATTTTCAAACCCTAAATGAATTCAGATGTAAAAGTGATGAATACAAAAGTTGTTCAACTCATCAAGATCTACAACTTTTATTTTGGTCATCTTGTTATTTGGCAAAATTTGAACCTTTCAAATTTAAAATTTTAAAAAATGACAAGTTCAAACCAAAATTCGAGACCCAAAATGATTTCAACATAAAAAGTGATGAGTATCAAATTTGTTCAACTCATTAATATATACAACTTTTATTTTAGTCATCTTGTAATTTGACAAAATTTGAACCTTTCAAATTTGAAATTTTGAAAAACGACAAGTTCGAACCAAAATTTGAGACTCAAATTGATTTCAACATAAAAAGTGATGAATACCAAAATTGTTCAACTCATGAATATCTGCAACTTTTATTTTGATCATTTCTTCATTTGACAAATTTTTACCACACATTATTCACTAATCTTACACATGTCTCATATAGTTTATAAAACCTTATGAGTGATGTGTCACATTTGTGAACAATCTCATTACCACTTTATCATATAAAGAAATGACCCATACAAAAGTTGTAGATCTTGATAAGTTATTCAACTTTGATATTTATCACTTTTTCAGCTGAAATCATTTGGGGTACCAAAATCTTGTCTGAAGTTGCATTTTTTTGAAATTTAAAATTTAAATTTCTCAAACTTTTCATATGTATATATTGACAAAACCAATAAAATAAATTGATAGAGAATGAATTTAGAAAATTTTAGGAAAAAAAATCATCAGATTTGGAGTTCGTATGAGGAAGAAAAACTAGTTACAAAGTTGACCTACAGATTAAAAAATGAAATCTCACTGTTCACTACGATCATATAAGGATCATTTAGAACAGTGTGATTTCTCTTTTTAATCTGTGGGTAAACTTTGTAACTAGTTGTTCTCCCTCATACTAATTTCAAATGTGATGGTTTTTTTTCCTAAAAATTTCTAAAATCATGATTCAGCATTTAAGTTTGATCAAACTTGGATGTGACAATGTTTTACATATTTTAAAATTTGAAATTTGACAAGTTCAAACCAAATTTTCAAACCGTAAATGATTTCAGATGTAAAAGTAATGAATACAAAAGTTGTTCAACTAATCAAGATCTACAACTTTTATTTTGGTTATCTTATCATTTGACAAAATTTGAACCTTTCAAATTTTAAATTTTAAAAAATGACAAGTTCGAACTAAAATTTGAGACCCAAAATGATTTTAACATAAAAAGTGATGAATACCAAAGTCGTTCAACTCATTAATATCTACAACTTTTATTTTAGTCATCTTGTCATTTGACAAAATTTAAACCTTTCAAATTTGAAATTTTGAAAAACGACAAGTTCGAACCAAAATTTGAGACCCAAATTGATTTCAACATAAAAAGTGATGAATACCAAAGTTGTTCAACTCATGAATATCTGCAACTTTTATTTTGGTCATTTCTTCATTTGATAAATTCTTAGCACACATTATTCACTAATGTTACACATGTCTCATATATTTTATAAAACCTTACGAGAGATGTGTCACATTTGTGAACAATGCCATTACCACTTTGTCATATGAAGAAATGACCAATACAAAAGTTGTAGATCTTGATAAGTTATTCAACTTTGGTATTTATCACTTTTTTAGCTGAAATCATTTGGGATACCAAAATCTTGTCTGAAGTTGTATTTTTTTGAAATTCAAAAATTAAATTGCTCAAACTTTTCATATGTATATATTGACAAAACAAACAACATAAATTGATAGAGAATGATTTTAGAAAATTTTAGGAAAAAAATCATCAGATTTGGAGTTAGTATGAGGAAGAAAAACTAGTTACAAGATTAAAAAAAGAAATCACACTGTTCACTACGATCATGTAAGGATCATCTAGAACAGTAAATTTGAAATTTGACAAGTTCAAACCAAATTTTCAAACCGTAAATGATTTCAGATGTAAAAGTGATGAATACAAAAGTTGTTCAACTAATCAAGATCTACAACTTTTATTTTGGTCATCTTATCATTTGACAAAATTTGAACCTTTCAAATTTGAAATTTTAAAAAATGACAAGTTCGAACTAAAATTTGAGACCCAAAATGATTTTAACATAAAAAGTGATGAATACCAAAGTTGTTCAACTCATTAATATCTACAACTTTTATTTTAGTCATCTTGTCATTTGACAAAATTTAAACCTTTCAAATTTGAAATTTTGAAAAACGACAAGTTCGAACCAAAATTTGAGACCCAAATTGATTTCAACATAAAAAGTGATGAATACCAAAGTTGTTCAACTCATGAATATCTGCAACTTTTATTTTGGTCATTTCTTCATTTGATAAATTCTTAGCACACATTATTCACTAATGTTACACATGTCTCATATATTTTATAAAACCTTACGAGAGATGTGTCACATTTGTGAACAATGCCATTACCACTTTGTCATATGAAGAAATGACCAATACAAAAGTTGTAGATCTTGATAAGTTATTCAACTTTGGTATTTATCACTTTTTCAGCTGAAATCATTTGGGATACCAAAATCTTGTCTGAAGTTGTATTTTTTTGAAATTCAAAATTTAAATTGCTCAAACTTTTCATATGTATATATTGACAAAACAAACAACATAAATTGATAGAGAATGATTTTAGAAAATTTTAGGAAAAAAATCATCAGATTTGGAGTTAGTATGAGGAAGAAAAACTAGTTACAAGATTAAAAAAAAAATCACACTGTTCACTATGATCATGTAAGGATCATCTAGAACAGTGTGATTTCTCTTTTTAATCTGTGGGTAAACTTTGTAACTAGTTGTTGTCCCTCGTACTAACTTCAAATGTGATGGTTTTTTTTTCTAAAAATTTCTAAAATCATGCTTCAGAATTTAAGTTTGATCAAACTTGGATGTGACAATGTTTTACACATTTTAAAATTTGAAATTTGAAATTTGACAAGTTCAAACCAAATTTTCAAACCCTAATTGATTTCAGATGTAAAAGTGATGAATACAAAAGTTATTTAACTCATCAAGATCTATAATTTTTATTTTGGTTATCTTGTCATCTGACTAAATTTGAACCTTTTAAATTTTGGTTGCTATTTATTCGTGCGCCATCAGTAGGGGCGGCTGGTGATTCAGCCGCCCCTACAGTCGAACAGCAGGACCCTACAAATGGCCACTGTAGGGGCGGCTGGTGATTGAGCCGCCCCTACAGATCAACCCCAACTGTAGGGGCGGCTGGTGAGCCGCCCCTACAGTGCCATCTATAGGGGTGGCTGGGCTGATGGGGCCCCGAGAACACCCACTGTAGGGGCGCCCCCAACTCCAACCGCCCCTACAGTAAAAATGCCTCCGTTCATAATGTTAGAATCTGGCGTAGTGTCGTGCGCAAGTCATGGCTCGGGCTCAACGCCGACGTGTTCCTCATCCGCAACTGCCGGTGGTCGCTCGACTTCATGGACGAGTGGGCGCGCATGGACCCCGCCTACCCAGAGGAGCACGCCCGGTGGGGGAAGACGCTCAGGGACGCGCTCCGCGACGTGGAGTGCGACCAGTTCGCGCTCGTCTACCTGCTCCTCAACGGCTGGGAGAGGCTGGGGAAGAAGACCTTCGTCGAGACGGACTACTTCTTCCAGGGCTACTGGAAGGAGGTCGTGGACCGCCTCGACGGCGTCGTCGCGCGGTACGAGGCCGTCGAGCGGCGCTCGCGCACGCCGGGGCTCTGGCGACGGCACGCGGAGCGGGAGCACCTACGGTACGCGGCGGTGCGGAACGCGGCAGTGAGCGGCGTCGTCCTGGGCCCGGCCGGTGGCGGGGTGAAGGGGTGGCGGCGGCCGCTGATCACGCACTTCGTGGGCTGCCAGCCCTGCAGCGGCGGTCGGAACCCGATGTACTCGAGGGAGAGCTGGTCGAGCCTGTTTGGCAGGCCGTAAACGATCGTGGATTATTTACTGCTGGCTGGTTTAGTATGAGAGAAAAATACTGTTCTAGTTTATAATCCATGATTGTATACGAGCAAACGAACATGCGTGCGCTGCCGTTGGACTAACCCGCTGCGCACGCGCGCAACAACTGATCACAATTCACCACAAGCGGCGAGATGAGAGCTGGGGATGTATACGAGTGGTGAAGGAACTGGGCCTATTTGGGCCTGACTGTATCGTGTTTATAGATAGATTTGAATAAGGGGACTGCTATTTAGCTGGAGCCTGTTTTTTTTTAAAAAAAAATCAAATAATTCTCTCATGCAATGAACCAGAGCCGTCGGATCTTCATTGTCTCCCTACCACCGTATCGTGTTCAACCTCACCCCTTCTTCCTCTCCCTCACGTATACAACACTAGGCCAAAAATTCTCAAGGCCGGGCCCACTAATTTTACATGGTTATATAGAGTAGGATGGCAGGATGCTGTATTTAGAGGCATTGATATATTCATGAGCATCAATTTTACATTAACAGTCTCCAAGCCCTATGGTTCAACCGTGTGCTCAACTTTGTTAAATAACTCACTTTAGGCTTTCAACGTCTTGCAAATCTCTATATATAGATACACCTAACTTTACAAACAAATCAAATGATGAATTAAGGGGTCACCCGACCTTCAAACTAAGGTCCTAATAATAAGGCCTATGATATGTCCCATATTTTGCCTCGGAACCTATGAGAGTAGGATGAGTAAGGAGAGGGTCATTCGATTTGGTTTTGAGTTGACTGACCTATGCTTGGATACATGGGTCGGCTGACCCTCCCTAGCTCGTGCATAGCCCGTGCCATAAACTTACAGAAGGCGTAGTTTTTGCGTTCGCACTCCAAATTGGATGAACCAAAAGTTCAAATTATTCATCTTGACAAACCCTTTGACATGGTCAAGTCAAATTTGGCCTTTTGAAATTGTTTTTAATAATGATAGTTTGGATCTCGTATCAACTCCATCTTCATAATTTCATAAGCTCCATTAATGCATTTTTGTGTATATCTCGAGCATAACCTACAAAACACCTAGATGCACCACAACTCATGGAATGTATTTGTTTAATGCATGAAAAAAATGTCCCTACCCTATTCATTTGCCAAGAGGTGTTGATCGAAATATGCACTTAACGACCACCAACAAGCTCTCCCAAGCTTCTTTTAATCATGCTCGAGTAAGGCTTAATGCTCATACCCGATGTATAAGGAGTTGCGCCAATGTTGGTTCCTGAAAGGCTGGAACTAGTCAAACAAGAAGATCAAGAGAAGGCAACTCTAGTACGAAGGATTCAGGGCTTGTCGACGGTATTAACACACGAGTATGATCACAAAGGACATATTCTGCCCCCTAGACATATGGTGGTCCATGCCGACAACCCATATACATCTCTTTTGCGGGAGGACGATGGAGTTTTTTTTTTTTTTTTGTATTTTGACAATCTCATTGTGTGGTATATGAGAATCTCAGCTGTTAGATTGGAGGTTGATAGATGACTGACATGTATGTTTGAGCCTGAGATCTTCCTAAGCTTCTTAAGCATATATACTTGGTCCCATTCTTCTACCTTTGTCATTTTTTTCCATTGCGTACTGGCTGAGTGCACGGATTAAGTGCAGATGCCCAAAGAATATTTTATCTTGAAATAAACCTTCCTTTACATATCTAGAGAAATTATCTTTGATTTTCTAGTACTCTCGATTTGGTTATATTTATTAACTTTTAGGAAAATTATATATATATATATATATATATATATATATATATATTAAGTCACCACTACACGGCACACTGCAAGAGGCTAACGAGCATATTGGTTCGTGGATTTGTAACGTCATCCGATTACGTCGGTAATAGATAACGTGATCGTGTTTGTTTAGGTTCAACCCTAATCCAATTACACCATAATTAGATACCGTCCTATAGGAATTTGTTACCCCTGCTGTAAGAGCGCGAATCGATACCTATGGCGCGTCCGCTCCGCTCCGCATCTTGACGAGGCGCATTCAAGCAAGCGGATGCCGCGCGCATGCATTCATGAATGGAATAGAATGGACGTAGGCTGGTTGCATGTCTTCTCCGCTCCAGATCTTCCCGGACGTGGGCCCCGCTCAAGATCTTCCCTTTCCATTTCCGTTACTGTGGAGAAAACAAACAAATCAAGTGATCTTTTTCTTTATTAACGTTACCTGTTTTTTTATGACGTTAGCGTTTGCGTTACCGTTTCTGAACCCAACAGCATGTAAGATACTTAGGACAGTTTCCAGAAATAAAAAGTGATTGGAGCATTATTACTATATGAATCGTGACAACTTGCTGTGACCTGCTTTTTGATAACGTAGCGACGGCACTCTTCAAGTAGAATTCTCTTGTAGGAACACTACTGGAATATGATTCTTGCCTTCGAATATGGTCCTATATATATAGCGCTTCTTAGAGTGAATTATGTCGTAGGTTCTTAAACTTTTTCTCACTTCTCACATAGGTTTATGAACTTTTTTCTCTCATCTAGGTCCATAAATTTTGTCTACATCCTAGCCGCCATCCAAAGCAGGACACATAGGACTTTGCTGCCTACGTGGCCACTGATATGATGCTGATGTGGCGCCATGTGCTTTTTTTATTTCATAAACTGGCTGAAACTTTGAAAAATAGTATAAAGTCATAGAAAAATCGTAAAAAGGAAACTCCAGTTTTGTTAGACTCTACATGAGTAGATCTATGCAACGGATATATAATATGACATACTTTAGTTTAAAGTTTTTGCTATAGCTGTAGATCTATTTGGTGTTTAATTCATAACTGCACCTCCTGTACTCCAATTGTGGTGAAATTCTTATGGTAGGCTACTCATTGTATGCTTGCTATATGATAAAAATTTCAATTTCAGTGGAGCAAGTATGACTGAGTTATTGATTTACTTTGATTTATGCTTGTTTAATAGTTAATAAATAGTTATTATTTGGTGGTGTACCAAACATTTAATTTGAATCTGAGATTTTTATGGATAATATATGATAACAAAACATAGCTACTATAAAAAATATTACATGCCCAGAATTAGTAGATTAATTACTACAATAAAAACAAGTTTTAATTGCAAGGAAGCATTGATGCAAAGATAAATCTAAAGCTCAACATTTTCTGTGATAACATGGTGATGTCAAGTGTTCAAAATGCATAACAAAATTATCAAAGGGCAATGGAACCGCATTTTCCATTTTTACACCTTGTTAACTATTTATTAACTATTAAACAAGAATAAACCTAGGTAAATCAATAACTCAGCCATACATGCTCCACTGAAGCTAAAATTTTTACAATTGGTCAAGCATACAATGAGTACCCTACCATAATAATTTCACCACAATTGGATCAGAGGAGATGGGGCTATGAATTAAACACATAATAGATCTACAACTACAGCAAAAACTTTAAATTAAAGCATGTCGTATTATATATGTATTGCATAGATCTACTCATGTGGAGTCTAGCAAAATTAGATTTTCCTTTTTATGAATTTTCTATGATTTTATACCATTTTTTCAAAGTTTCAACCAATTTATGAAATAAAAAAAGGAGCACGTGGCGCTACATCAATGGTTACATAGGCAGTAGAATCCTATATGACCTGCTTTGGATGGCGGCTAGGATGTCACAAAGTTCATGGACCTAGATGAGCGGAAAAAAAGTTCATGGACCTATGTTTTACATCTGGACAACGTGCCTTGATGTTCACAAAATCAATGGATAAAGACCTTGCTTCATATATCAAGTGGATACGACTGCACAACGAACAAAATTTTATGCTCATCGTGGCGTGTTTCCGGAGGCAAAGAATCGATATCTCCATTGGAGAGACATTCAGGACAATTTTGTAGCGGGCTTTAGTGAAGTATACATTTCACAGGCAGACAGCTGCTGACAAACTATATATGCATGTGCCCATCATCATACAGACGAAGAAACGCTGCGAGTGCCAATAATTGAGAATAGACGCGCGGCATAGTCATCGAGTGATCAATGCTAGCAATGGCCAGTTCCATGGCGGTGCTGCTGCCCCCGGAGCTGCTACTGGCCGCGAAGCGCGGCGACTGGAGGAATCTAGATGATCTCATGAGCAACGAAGGCGCACTGCGACCCCAAGTCACCGTCGACATCGACATCGAGGACGCCAGCGTGCACTATGGGCCGGACACGGTCCTCCACGTCGTCGCGTCGTCGTCGTCGTCGTCGTCCGGTGGAGACGGCGGCGCAGCAGAAGAGCCCCTGATGATGAGCGCTACGGTGATCTGCAGCAAGGCCCAGCACCTCATGGGCGCGCGCAACGCTCGGGGCGACACGCCCCTGCACTGCGTCGCTAGAGCCGGGAACACCGAGATGGTCTCCCATGTCATCGACCTGGCGAGACGCCAAGACGACGGCGGCGGCGCCTCAGTGCTGCAGGTGGTGCTGAGGAAGGAGAACAGGCGAGGGGAGACGGTCCTACATGACGCCATCCGCTGGGGCGACGCGGAAATGGTGCGAGTGCTGGTGGCGGCGGACGACGAGCTGGCGCGTTTCCCGCGCAACGGCGTCTCCCCGTTGTACCTGGCCATCTTGCTGGAGCGCGATGATATTGCACAGTAACTGTACGAAAAGGACAGCCAGCTATCTTACTCTGGACCAGACGGACAAAACGCCATGCACGTTGCCGTTGTAAGGTGCGAACGTAAGTGTCTTCTGCATTGTCTTGCACGTACGATGTCCTTGTTTTCCTTAGGTATATCTCCGTTAAGCTTCGGTATATATCCTTAAATACACAGGTCCATTAATTTACGTGGAAGTTTCGGTTACATCCATTAACAACTCTAAAAGAATTTTTAGGTCATAAACCTTTTAAATGGTTCCCCGCAGTTCATACTCCTTCGTTTGACTAATTAATTAAGAGGCCCAAATTAGCTACTTTTGCCATTCCATAAGATAATTTAAAATAAACCCTCTAAAATCACAATATAAAAGAGCGTGTTTTTTTTGGAGGGAGGGGCTATCCCTTTTTCATAACTATTTGATCTTGACACCGTTTCATATGAGCCTTTCGTCGTCTGAGATCTTACTCTCCCTCATTAATAACCGTTTGATCTAGACGCCGTGTCATATGAGCCTTTCGTCGGCCGAGATCTTACAATTTTTCCTTTCCTTTCCTTCGGAGAGCAGAGTCTTTGGGCGGTCGAAAATGGGAATGACGAACGAGTAAGGGTGTGCTTGGGAGGGCTCCTCTCTATGGGCATCTCTGGAGGAGCTGGAGTTGTTTTGGAGTGGCTCCTCCAAAATGGCACTAGCTCCTCTGTTTTCATTGAAAAAGTGCTCAAAACAGCTTCTCCATCTAAACTGTTTGGCAGGGCTCCTCCGGAAGAGCCGGAGCCGGAGCCGGAGTCAGGAAGGAACCCTGCCAAACAGCCCTAAAAAACGCTCTGCTGAGGCTCCTCCCGCGAGGATGAGTCCTGTTAGGAAAGTGCTTGCCTCCCTCCCGTAATGCCCTTGCCGTGTTTTATTTTTTTCCTTGATAAAATAACTCTGCTTTTCCTTATAAAGAAAAATAGTAATACAATATTATGGGTCTTTGAAAGTTTGACCTTTACTTAATATAAACAAATATTTCTATCAAATTGTTGGTTTTAATTAGAAACAAATTACTAATATGACATGAATTAGTCGATGATCTAACTAATCAATCTGTAAACTCAAATCTTGAGCGGTTTCACGTCCAATCTAATCAAAATAAATGTTTCTCTAAGCTGTCTGCACATACCAGTGCAAATCTACGAACCGTCAACATATACCAATACAACTTTCAACAAGGACTGAAATTTGGAAACCGAGACAGGACAACTAAATATTAAAGTTACATATTTTTATGGATCCTTAAAAGAAGTCACATAACTTAATATCTAACTCTACCAATACATGGACAGTCAGTATACAAACTACAGTTACGATACTTTTGCGAGTAAATATTTTGTTCTTTACAATGGAAAAAATGTAGGTTGTTTTTAATTCAATCAATAATTCATAGGATATTGTCAATATTACCTTATATTATAGATATCATGATCAACATAAAATAGATAATAGCTTTTTAATTATATAGAAAGATAAAAAGTAAATAGATATTTAACATTGCCATCCTTGTTTCCATTAACGAGCCCGTGCGTTTGTGATCGTTGCGGCAACCACTACGTCACACAGGGTTTGTAAGGGTGGCTCAAGACCATTTGTAGGGGCGGTTTGGCCAGCCGCTCCTACCAAACCGTCTCTACAAATCATGCATTTGTAGGGGCGGTTCCCAGACCGCCCCTATAAATCGATTTGTAGGGGCGGCTGTAGTACCAGCCGTCCCTATAATACCTGTTTGTAGGGGTGGTTCAGTTTAGAACCGCCTCTATAGTACATTTTTCCGTCAAAAAAATCAAATTTACAATTCAAATTTGACCAGAACATACATATGGCCCTGTTTGTTTCCGCGTATTCTCGCGTTCGCGTTGTGAGTGAGCGAGGAAAACGAGATAATCCCACCGAACACCCCGCGACTAACGTGCGACCGGGAATCGCCCGCGGCATGGAACGCGCGAAACTTAACTACGACCCGCGATTCGCAAAACGCAGCCTCCGAACCGCGTTCACTCAAGAGTATTATATAAACTACAATTACAAGTACAATTCACAAGAATATATACAATCCATCATTAAATAGACATAATTCACAAGGTAAAACCAATGTCAAATTCCATACACATTATTATCAACGGCCTAGAGCTAGCCTTTCGGTCTCACGAAGGTGTTGGTACGGTACTGAGGATTTCTACCTAAGTCAGACTCTCGGTCATGGTAGGTGCCTTCGACGTGTATAATCTGGTCCAATATGAAGTTGAAAAGGTCGTCGACGAGCTCTAAGAGTTTGTCATCCTTGTATGGGTCTCTTTTCATTTCTTTCTCTTCTTTCCACTACAAGATAATAAGTTTCAGTTTAGTATTTCATACCATGTATGAAGTTTTTATACTACGGGTGAAGAGGTTTAAACTTACCCTTAAGGGGTGTCTCCTATAGGCACCGGTGTTACTCATCATAGAACATACATAGTATCCACAATGTACACTCCCAAGCTTCTGCTTGGGGCACTGTGTGTTTTGCATATGAAAATGTTAAGTAATGCTTTTGACAGCCATGTAATGGAGTACTGAAGAAGTAAGTTACACTTACCACACATAGTGTTTTTATAGCCAGCTTTTCCTTCCTTGCTGGATCATGCCTTCCATGATGTTTAGTGACATAGAACCTAAATGCCCCGTTTGAATTATTTTAGCAAATACAACTTGTTAGTATCCAAAAGTGAACGTTACAAGTATGTATACAAACATATAAGCTAATGAGGATTATCGATATGTATACGTCTTGAGAATCGATATGAAGTCTTTGTATGTCACCGGGTCCCTATCTATTGAATGAAAGATCCATGCCATGCTCCTCCCGACATCGACGCCTATACAGATCCAGTGGTTGCTGCATGGATTTAATTATAGAACTAGATAAGCTCTTTTGCATCGAATAAAATATATCGAACAAAGCTTTAAGTATAGAGTTGAACCTACTCGAAGTTGTATGGTAGCCAAATAGTAGAGTGATGTTGGAGAATTTTAAAAGCTAGGGCAATGTAGGCCGAAACCTTAAGGGAATGTTGCCTTAGTTTCTTCGTACTGATGTCCTCTTTCTCCCGAAGGGTCTTTCCAGCAGCTAGCTCTTTGTCATCCAGTTTCCACTGTTTAGGGTAATTAAAATTTGTTTGTGCTATAGCTTGAGGGTCTATATACCTGGCTTTCACACTTGGCATTTGTTTTACAATATGCATTTGCATTCTACAAATCATGGTGTGGGTTAGTTACAACAAAATCTAAAGATTACATTCATATCATATTGGGAGGACAAGGACCTACAGGCACCACGTGCGAATTAGATTCATCTCCATTGCTCCGAGGTGAAAGTATGTCTGCATATCATTGAAGTCAAATATAATTTTCCTGGCTGGGCTTCCAAATGTGCCGGTGGGGAAGCATGCTTGTATGAGGTCTATGCTCATTGGAAGAACATGCAAGTACCAATCATGGAACCTTCTCATTCCAAGTGGTAGGCGCTGGATGTCCCAGTTTGGTAGGAAGGGCTTGCCTCTTTCATATATTTTCGGGCAATCCTTTTACCATTTGATGGCATCAACATTTGGATACTGCTTTGCTGTTTGGTGGAGTTTGCTAGTGACAGCCTCCTCAGAATCCCTTGATGGGACTTTTTTAACTTGGTTCTCAGGCTTGAGCTGGTCATGGGCATACCACTTGTGCACCGATGAGACGTCTTTCATCGAAACATAAATTAGCCTTATGGTGATTGGATGCTTCTTTCGAAGTTCCCATTCAGGCACGTCCTCATCTTCTTGTGCGTCACCTTCTTTAGGAGGCACTCGTTGTTCATGTATCGGCTGCGCTTGTTGAGAAGACTGTGGCATCTCATCATGCACTTGCTCGGTACGAGATGGAGAAGGTTGTGGCTTATCAGGCACATGCTCGCTAGGAGGTGGGAAAGAATGTGGCATCTCAGGAATGTGGTGGTCACGAGACGGTGAAAATATCTCCCCGTCCTCAACAACTCACTCCAAATTTGGGAGAAGGGGAGGCAACGAAGAAGCAGTCAATATAATGTCCCGTTCGTGCTAGAGGATGAACTGCCCCATTACGTCTCTGAGTAACACCAGCCCCTCGGGAGTTGTGTAGTCTATCCTCCACTACATGAACTCGGGCTTCATGGTATGCACCTCGACCCTAGTGTAGTCCCGCGATATCTTATTATTGTGGTGTAAGCCACCGGGAGGATGTGTCACACTCGTTGCCACCTCCATCACAATGTTCTACCGTCCGCTGAGAAACACCAAGGTGCAACTAGTTGGTTCCCGTATGCGATCGACGGGGGTTGTGGCTGCAGTGGAACCTTGGCTGCTAGGAACTTTCGGAGGGCTGCCAACTAATGCCAGTTCTCCAGTGGCGTCATTAATGTTCGTGGCTTCGTAGACAGTCCTTGCTCCTCCAGCGCCTTCGCAACTAGAGCCTTTACTTGGAGCTCAAGATTAGTCTCCCAGTCTCTGCCATGTTTCTTGTACATGTGCCTATCCTCTTTGAATCCGTGCTTCCAGGTCATCCTTTTCCCGAGCCCCCTGGTGCGGCCTGTGTGCTCCTTGTTTCCTGTCGCAGAACCGACCAATTTATAAGAGTACAAGTACAATGGCGGCCCGCAAGCGGTCGCACTATCATACTTGAACCCATATAAACCCAGTAGTCCGTCGAGTACCACGACGGGTCTCGATAAACGATTTACAACAACCAAGATCGTACATGATTCAACATATATGTCACATATTACATAAAGTTCACAGATACATTTTCATCATCAGAGTATGAAACCAGTTATTACAAACCGAGTTTGATAGATAAAAGCGGAAGCAAATTAAGTTTGAAAGTAAAGTTTCCAACATAGTTTAGCACAGTGCCGAAATACGATCACGGTCCACAAAAGCATGCAGAAAGATTAATAAAGAAGCCTGCCCAAG